TTGGGGGGGGGGGAGAGAGGCTTCAGGTTATAAAAGAAGAAGTAGAAAAACTCCTACAAGTTGGTTTCGTCAGAAGAGTTGATTACTATGAATGGGTGGCTAACTCAGTGTTGGTTAAGAAGGCGAATGGTAAATGACGAATGTGCATCAATTATACAAACCTCAACCAAGCTTGTCCTAAAGACTGTTATCCGATGCTAAGCATTCATAAATTGGTTGAAGCGGCTTCTGGAAATGAGAGATTAAGTCTCTTGGATGCATATTCCGGTTACCACCAAGTGTCGATGGCTCCGGAAGCTGAAGAGAAAACCTCGTTCTATGCAAGTGATGAAATTTACTATTATGTCATAATGCCCTTTGGCTTAAAGAACGCAAGTGTCACTTACCAGAAAATGGTAACCATCATCTTCTGAGCTTAGATCGGCAGGAATCTGGAGGTTTACGTTGATAATATTGTAGTAAAGAGTTTGAAAGCAAAAGATCATCTAGCTGATCTCGACAAAACATATAACAATCTCAGAAAGAACAGAATGCGTTTAAACCTAGCTAAACGCATCTTCAGTGTGGAGTCTAGGAAATTTTTAGGTTTCATGGTTTCCAGGAGGGGGATTGAAGTTAACCTAGAAAAGATTAGAGCAATTGCCGAGATGGAACTGCCGAAGTCGGTAAAAGATATACAGAGATTAATTGGAAGGGTGGCAACTCTTCATAGATTCATATAGAAGTTAGCAGATAAGTGCCTGCCATTCTTCAAGATCATGAGGTTAGCAGCCCAGAAGGATGAATCTGACAAACAAAAGAAGTTTGAATGGAACCAAGAATGATGAGCTGCATTTGATGAGCTGAAGTCTTATCTTAACTCACCACCTCTACTGACTAAGGCTATAGATGGAGAAATTCTCTATTTGTACCTCAGCATTTTAGACGAAGAAATTAGTTTAGTTTTGTTGAGAGAAGAGGGCAAACAGCAGAAACCAATTTATTATATCAGCAGCGTGCTACACGGAGCAAAACAAAGGTACCTTACTGTTGAGAAAGCAGCATTAACAGTTGTCACTTCGACCAGAAAGTTGAGGCCACATTTCCAGTCACATCCAATCATCGTCCTCACAGACCAACCTCTTTGACAGATCCTTCAGAAACCAGAACGCTTTGGAAGGTTAATTAAGTGGGCAGTAGAACTGGGGGAATTCAAGATAACATTTCAGGAAAGGTCTGCGATCCGAGCCCAAGCACTGGCGGATTTCATCGTGGAATGCACCCCATGTCACCCAAACCCTATCCCCGAGCCAAGCGACTAGACCTTATATGTTGATGGAGCATCTAGTAGCAAGGGATTAGGAGCTGGTGCTTTCCTAATTGGCCCAGATGGATATCAAAGTGCGCATTCTTTGAAATTTAACTTTGACGCAACTAATAACATGGCTGAATATGAAGCTCTGCTACTTGGTTTACAACTAGCATTGGAGCTGAAAGTTATGGCGATACAAGTTTACAGTGACTCGCAGCTTGTGGTTAATCAAGTAAACTCAGTCTGCGAAGTTGTTGATCTTGTCATGATAAAATATATAGCCCTGGTGGCCGAGTTGAAGTGTAAGTTCCATAAGTTTTGTTTGAGCAAAATTCCCAGAAGTGAGAATGAACAGGCAGATTTGATTTCCAAGTTTGACTTTGATAGTTCCTTAAGCTCCAGATCAGTTTTCGTGGAAGTTTTAGATGAACCAAGCTTTATGAAGCCAAGAATGATGGAGATCAGCATAGACCCGGATACATCGAGCTGGACAAATCCAATTGTCTCCTTTTTATAAGACGGGTCAGTGCCTGAAGACAAGCAAGAGGCAATGAGGTTGAGGAAGAAAGCGTCTCAAGATACACTCGTTGATGGCGTCCTTAATAAGAGATCTTTCTCACTCCCTCTTCTATGATGCTTGAATCCTTATAAAGTTGAGTATGCAGTTTGGGAGGTGCATGAACGGTGTATGTAGAAGCCACATTGGTGCCAGAACTCTGGCTCACAAAGTCCTCAGACAAGGATATTACTGGCCGAATATGTATAAAAATGCTACTCAATTTAGGCAAAGATGCCTGAAGTGTCAATTCTTCGCACATTTGACTCACCAACCAATAGAAGAGCTCACCAACTTGGTAGCACCGTGGCCATTTGCTTAGTGGGGACTTAATCTTTTGGGCCCATTCATGAAAGGAGTTGGAGGTGTAACCCATCTGATTTTTGGGATTGATTATGTTACAAAATGGGTTGAAGCTCGGTCATTATCTAGTCTTACCTCCAGAAAGGTTGAAGACTTTGTTTTCAGCTCAATCATCTGTAAATACAGAATCCCGAATCAGATTATAACTGATAATGGAACTCAGTTCAATTGCTCTTCATTTAGAGATTTCTGCTACAATTACGGGATCAAATTACAGTTTACCTCAGCTTACCATCCGGAATCCAATGGTATGGTTGAATCTGTCAATAAAGTTATCCTGGAAGGAATAAAACCGAGGTTGGAGCAGCACAAGGCCAGATGGGCAGACGAGCTTAACAACGTCCTCTAGGCATATAGAACTACGAGCCAAATTGCCACAGGTACTATTCCCAACTCAAGTTACTTTCATTTTATTTTATTTTCTCACCTACAGCTTTACCCTAGATCAAATATGCAATGTGTAAAGCATACTCTAAAAACTATAACTCAATGAAATAGGTGAAACACCCTACCACTTGCCTTTGGTACCAAAGCAGTAATTCCTATTGAAATAGGAGTCCCAAGCTTTCGAGTCACCTATTTCGATGAAGGATGAAATCGACAATTGCCTCGGAAGAACCTTGATCTGCTTGCCGAAGTCAGAGAAGAAGCACGACTTCGGACCCTAGTATACAAGCAGAAATTAGCCAACTTCTACAACAAACGAGTCCACCCTCGAACATTCAAAGTAAGAGACCTTATTCTTAGAAAGGCTGGGCTAACAGGGTTTGAAACTCGTTTTGGCAAATTGGCCCCGAACTGGGAAGGCCCTTACACAATGGTTGAAGTGCCACATCTTGGCGCCTATATCCTCCAAGACGCTGAAGGGAAGAGAGTTCCTAGAGTCTGGAATATCAATAACTTAAAGAAATTCTACCCTTAATAAACTTCTTTCAAGTAATCTTCATCTTTTTCTTCTTTATAATTATTACTTCTTCATTTTTGAGACTCATTTCTTATTCTGTATATTAAAGGTCAATCTGTTTGGAATTTATTCCTTGAACTTCACTTTTATTAATGAATTTCACTTCACATACGAAGTGATTTACTTCTTTTCAGTTTATCTCTGAAATGATTTACTTCTTCTTAGTTCATATCCGAAGTAATTTACTTCATAAAACAAATAAAGCACAAAGCAAATGTTACACATAAATCACCAACAAAAATTTTTATTAAACTCAAATACTAAAAGATACAAACTGTTTAAATTATCAATTGTTCCAATGTTAGTAAAAAAGAAAGATCATAAAATAATAAAAAAAAACTCCTAATTAATCTATTGGGGTGGTGGCTGAGGTGGCTGCTGCTCTGATGGAAGAGGTGGTTGCTTCGCTGACTGAGGTGGCTGTTCTTCGTTAGAAGGAATTGAATGGACCTCCACTGGATGAGGTTGCTGGTTTTCCTCAACTCCAACACCTTTTACCTCTGCTTCCTCTTCCTCCATTGCTACGAACTCGAAGTCGAAGTGTGGAGGAAAAACAATATGTCCATCTTCATCGTGATCTCACCTCAGTTTAATTTGAGGTCGAAAGTCTGCTGACATACTCTCACCGTTTTCCTCCACCCCTTCCTCTTGCTCACTAAAGGTGATCTTCATAATATCCACTTCGGGATACTTAGCTTTCACCTTCTTTCTGCAATCTGTGAAGGCGAGAATAGCAGTCGGCAGCCGATAAAGGTTGATAATGTTGTCAAACGAGCTGGAGTTGATGAAGTTGTTTATGTGCTCCTCCATCCCATTGTGTATCAACAGCTGAACATTCTTCTTCAGTTCAACCACAACTTCTTTCATTGCCTTTATCTCTTTCTCCTGAGCCTCGCGCTCGCTTTCAGAGATCTTTCTCTTTTTCTTTTCAAAGACGAGCTTGGTACTCAAAGAATCCTTCTCCTGCTCAAGCTGCTTCACTGTTGGTACCACCTCATCCAGTGCCTCTTGCATATCCTTATTTTTCTTCTCCAGCTCTTCCTTCTCCTTCTACAGCTGCTCACACTCTCCATAAATTCCTGGGCTAGAGCATTCACCTAGCTCGCACTCTGTAATTCAAGTAAAAGTCAAAAAAAAAAAAAAAAAAAAAAAACAACAACAAACAACAGCAACACCAACCATCACACATAAACCAACTTAACATACCTCAAGAGCGTGCTTCACCAGGTTGCCCCACAATACTTCAGCACCTCTTCCTTAGCTTGACGCTTGTCCATTTCAGGGAAGGTTGCGTTTATAAACCTTCTTGCCCCTGTTGCGTTCCTTTTTCTTCTTCTATAGTGCTTCCAACTCCTCACTGCCCTTTCTCTTCAGCTCTAGCCTAGGCTGCCCTTCCTCAACTCTAGCCGAGGTGCTAGGCACTAACTCCTTCCCAGCTCCCACTTCACTCCCCTCCTTAGTTGAAGCCTTTGACGCTTCTTTGGAATGGCCAGCCCTCCAACAGCATTCAAAAACTTATCCATCTCAACTGCAAAACAACATAAACAAAGTAGTGTCAACAGCAAAACTCTACACCCCACATCAAGCACTACAATGCAAAAAATAAACACACCTTCACTCAAAGCGCTTGACCCATAGAGCTCAACAGCTTCTATACAATCCACGTTGGTGAGGTACATTATATTAACTAACTTACCCCCCTCCTTCACCAACTTCCCCACCTTTTCCTCCTCATCCTCATTTAAACTATATTTATTTTGGTTGGCTTTCTTAGCCTTCCAAGATGACAACAGTTCCACCTCGGCATCCCTCCTTTCCCACTCTGTGTCATCTACAAAGAAAAATTTATCCTTCCATCCTTTAATGGATGAAGGACCCACTGTAAATAAACTCTTACTTTCTTTATTTAACACTCTATGGGTGAAATAATACCACCCCTTGTCCTTTCTACTACCCCCTTTAGAACAAAAAAATATTTAAACATATTTACAGTTGGCACATTAACCCCCTAAACTCGGCAATAAACCAAAAACCCTATTATTACTCTCATAGCATTGGGGACTAATTGTGTTAACCTTATATTATAATCTAATAATAAACCCACTAGCAACTTAGGAATTGGAAACCTAAGCCCAGTTGCTAAATAATGAGCATACATGGGCATCCAATGATCCCGAGGTGTAAAACATGTCCTCTCCTCTACCCCAGCAGGCCTAACTAGAACTCAGGAAGAAATTTCATAACTTTCAACCAAATAACCCAGGCTATCCCTGGTCTCGAGTTTGGACTCATACTGCCTCACCTCAGACACAATCTCTGCATCCACATCATAACACCTCTCATTCCTACCTTCCACTTCTACTACAATAATAGGCACCCTATCTCCCTCTACCCCAACCATTTCACTCCTTCCTACCCCTTCCTCCGTCCTCTCCAAATCGGATGACTCACTGGTCATACTCGTGTCACCATATTCCAACGCCCTCACTTCCTCACCATTTCTTCAAAAGACATCTCTTCAAATTTCGTAAGTTTCACTACATG